CCTCTTGTATCGAACCATCTTCTCGATAGGTTTTCATTTCTAGTTGATGGTGGTTTCAGATCCTGAAACCGTGATTGGATTGATGGTGCGCTCGCTCGCTGCCTCTCAACCTTGTGAGAGACTACTGAGTGGTAATGGCTTCGACCATCATCCAGCCTCCGCGCGGCCCCAACTCTCTCACTTTCCAATTCGCCACCCCACAACACTCCACCACTAAACCGACCGAGCCCACACCCGAGCTGGCCTCCGCCTTCAACATGCACTCCAAGCTCCTCGCCGTGCTCAGCCTGTGCGTCGCCGCCTCCGTGCTGCAGGCGACCGATGCTGGTGCCGCCGCTCCTGCAGGCCTCTCGCCGCACCGCCACCTCGGCGCCAAGCAGGAAGACTACGGACACCACCCGCGCCACCACGACCACGACCACGACCACGATCACCGCAAGAAGCACCGCCACCACGATCACGACAAGTACTACCGTCGCCGTCTCGAAGACGCCAAGAAGGCCACCGAGTCCTCGGACTACGACTACGGCAAGGACAACTACGGCAAGGACCGCAAGGACGACTACAGCTACGGCAAGGACGACTACGGCAAGGATGACTACGGCCACCACCACAAGGACGTCTACGAGTACAAGGGCTACGACGACTACGGCTACGGTCACGGCAAGGATTACTACGGGAAGGTCTACTATGGCAAGGATTACTACGGCAAGGCCTACTATGGCCAGAGCTACTACGGGAAGAACGACTACGGCAAGGACTACTATGGAAAAGACTACTACGGCAAGAACTACTACTATGACAAAAACTACGACGACAAGGACTACTATGGCAAGGACTACTACGGCCGTGGCAAGGACTACTACGGCCGTGGCGACGACTACTACGGCAAGGACGTCTACAGCTACGGCAAGGACGACTACGACTACGGCTACGGCTACTACCCCGACTACTCGTTCGGAGGCGGCTATGGATACGGATACTACCCGGACTACTACTCGTCCTACGGCGGCGACTACAGCTTCGGCTACGGCTACGGATTCCCCGGCAACTACGGCTACGCTGGCTATGGCTACGGCTATGGGTACCCTGGTTTTGGCTTCGGCTTTGAGTCCGCACCGACGGGTGGCGACGCTGGGCAGCAGGAGACTGGAGGTGCGAGTCCTGTCACCACCACGGAAGACGTTGCCTCCAAGTCGGCGGAGAAGGACAGCAAGACGCCGTCCAAGGGATCCGCCAAGTCCGGCGCTGCGGACAAGTCCAAGGGCAAGGGCAAGTAAAGTAAAGTAACGTAACGTAAACCAGCGTAAGAGGCGCGTGCGTCCGTGCGAAGGCAAGAAGTCGAAGTACCGTAGACGATGGGCGAGGATGTAGCCCACGGCAAGTGTACTGTCGTGTACACCATGTAGCGTTGATAAAAACTGGCAGTGGTAGTACTAGTAGTAAGTAGTAGTAATACGCCGCCAATGGATGTCATCTTTCTTTTTGCGAACGTTTATTTATGTGTGAGGTTAGTGGTGTTAGAACACTCTTCTACCGCATGTTACTTAGTCGGTGAAACAAGCGCTGGACACAGTATATAGCCCACCTTTGATTCGCATTGGGCAGATTGAAGACGACTAAATAACATTTAGAGCAGTTCAGATGAGTAGTTGGAGCTGTTAGACGTTTAGAACAGTACAGATAAGTACTAGTAGTATAGTATCTCTGAAACGAAACCAGGCAGGTAGATAAGCTGTGGCACGTTGATGTGTTGGTTGCATTGTATTTTTTGGTAGCACTGACGTGAAACTACGCAGTGATACTACACATCCTCTTGTATCGAACCATCTTCTCGATAGGTTTTCATTTCTAGTTGATGGTGGTTTCAGATCCTGAAACCGTGATTGGATTGATGGTGCGCTCGCTCGCTGCCTCTCAACCTTGTGAGAGACTACTGAGTGGTAATGGCTTCGTCCATCATCAAGCCTCCGCGCGGCCCCCACTCTCTCACTTTCCAATTCGCCACCCCACAACACTCCACCACTAAACCGACCGAGCCCACACCCGAGCTGGCCTCCGCCTTCAACATGCACTCCAAGCTCCTCGCCGTGCTCAGCCTGTGCGTCGCCGCCTCCGTGCTGCAGGCGACCGACGCTGGTGCCGCCGCTACTGCAGGCCTCTCGCCGCACCGCCACCTCGGCGCCAAGCAGGAAGACTACGGACACCACCCGCGCCACCACGACCACGACCACGACCACGATCACCGCAAGAAGCACCGCCACCACGATCACGACAAGTACTACCGTCGCCGTCTCGAAGACGCCAAGAAGGCCACCGAGTCCTCGGACTACGACTACGGCAAGGACAACTACGGCAAGGATGACTACGGCCACCACCACAAGGACGTCTACGAGTACAAGGGCTACGACGACTACGGCTACGGTCACGGCAAGGATTACTACGGGAAGGTCTACTATGGCAAGGATTACTACGGCAAGGCCTACTATGGCCAGAGCTACTACGGGAAGAACGACTACGGCAAGGACTACTATGGAAAAGACTACTACGGCAAGAACTACTACTATGACAAAAACTACGACGACAAGGACTACTATGGCAAGGACTACTACGGCCGTGGCAAGGACTACTACGGCCGTGGCGACGACTACTACGGCAAGGACGTCTACAGCTACGGCAAGGACGACTACGACTACGGCTACGGCTACTACCCCGACTACTCGTTCGGAGGCGGCTATGGATACGGATACTACCCGGACTACTACTCGTCCTACGGCGGCGACTACAGCTTCGGCTACGGCTACGGATTCCCCGGCAACTACGGCTACGCTGGCTATGGCTACGGCTATGGGTACCCTGGTTTTGGCTTCGGCTTTGAGTCCGCACCGACGGGTGGCGACGCTGGGCAGCAGGAGACTGGAGGTGCGAGTCCTGTCACCACCACGGAAGACGTTGCCTCCAAGTCGGCGGAGAAGGACAGCAAGACGCCGTCCAAGGGATCCGCCAAGTCCGGCGCTGCGGACAAGTCCAAGGGCAAGGGCAAGTAAAGTAAAGTAACGTAACGTAAACCAGCGTAAGAGGCGCGTGCGTCCGTGCGAAGGCAAGAAGTCGAAGTACCGTAGACGATGGGCGAGGATGTAGCCCACGGCAAGTGTACTGTCGTGTACACCATGTAGCGTTGATAAAAACTGGCAGTGGTAGTACTAGTAGTAAGTAGTAGTAATACGCCGCCAATGGATGTCATCTTTCTTTTTGCGAACGTTTATTTATGTGTGAGGTTAGTGGTGTTAGAACACTCTTCTACCGCATGTTACTTAGTCGGTGAAACAAGCGCTGGACACAGTATATAGCCCACCTTTGATTCGCATTGGGCAGATTGAAGACGACTAAAATAACATTTAGAGCAGTTCAGATGAGTAGTTGGAGCTGTTAGACGTTTAGAACAGTACAGATAAGTACTAGTAGTATAGTATCTCTGAAACGAAACCAGGCAGGTAGATAAGCTGTGGCACGTTGATGCGTTGGTTGCATTGTATTTTTTGGTAGCACTGACGTGAAACTACGCAGTGATACTACACATCCTCTTGTATCGAACCATCTTCTTGATAGGTTTTCATTTCTAGTTGATGGTGGTTTCAGATCCTGAAACCGTGATTGGATTGATGGTGCGCTCGCTCGCTGCCTCTCAACCTTGTGAGAGACTACTGAGTGGTAATGGCTTCGTCCATCATCCAGCCTCCGCGCTGCCCCAACTCTCTCACTTTCCAATTCGCCACCCCACAACACTCCACCACTAAACCGACCGAGCCCACACCCGAGCTGGCCTCCGCCTTCAACATGCACTCCAAGCTCCTCGCCGTGCTCAGCCTGTGCGTCGCCGCCTCCGTGCTGCAGGCGACCGACGCTGGTGCCGCCGCTCCTGCAGGCCTCTCGCCGCACCGCCACCTCGGCGCCAAGCAGGAAGACTACGGACACCACCCGCGCCACCACGACCACGACCACGACCACGATCACCGCAAGAAGCACCGCCACCACGATCACGACAAGTACTACCGTCGCCGTCTCGAAGACGCCAAGAAGGCCACCGAGTCCTCGGACTACGACTACGGCAAGGACAACTACGGCAAGGACCGCAAGGACGACTACAGCTACGGCAAGGACGACTACGGCAAGGACGACTACAGCTACGGCAAGGACGACTACGGCAAGGATGACTACGGCCACCACCACAAGGACGTCTACGAGTACAAGGGCTACGACGACTACGGCTACGGTCACGGCAAGGATTACTACGGGAAGGTCTACTATGGCAAGGATTACTACGGCAAGGCCTACTATGGCCAGAGCTACTATGGGAAGAACGACTACGGCAAGGACTACTATGGAAAAGACTACTACGGCAAGAACTACTACTATGACAAAAACTACGACGACAAGGACTACTATGGCAAGGACTACTACGGCCGTGGCAAGGACTACTACGGCCGTGGCGACGACTACTACGGCAAGGACGTCTACAGCTACGGCAAGGACGACTACGACTACGGCTACGGCTACTACCCCGACTACTCGTTCGGAGGCGGCTATGGATACGGATACTACCCGGACTACTACTCGTCCTACGGCGGCGACTACAGCTTCGGCTACGGCTACGGATTCCCCGGCAACTACGGCTACGCTGGCTATGGCTACGGCTATGGGTACCCTGGTTTTGGCTTCGGCTTTGAGTCCGCACCGACGGGTGGCGACGCTGGGCAGCAGGAGACTGGAGGTGCGAGTCCTGTCACCACCACGGAAGACGTTGCCTCCAAGTCGGCGGAGAAGGACAGCAAGACGCCGTCCAAGGGATCCGCCAAGTCCGGCGCTGCGGACAAGTCCAAGGGCAAGGGCAAGTAAAGTAAAGTAACGTAACGTAAACCAGCGTAAGAGGCGCGTGCGTCCGTGCGAAGGCAAGAAGTCGAAGTACCGTAGACGATGGGCGAGGATGTAGCCCACGGCAAGTGTACTGTCGTGTACACCATGTAGCGTTGATAAAAACTGGCAGTGGTAGTACTAGTAGTAAGTAGTAGTAATACGCCGCCAATGGATGTCATCTTTCTTTTTGCGAACGTTTATTTATGTGTGAGGTTAGTGGTGTTAGAACACTCTTCTACCGCATGTTACTTAGTCGGTGAAACAAGCGCTGGACACAGTATATAGCCCACCTTTGATTCGCATTGGGCAGATTGAAGACGACTAAATAACATTTAGAGCAGTTCAGATGAGTAGTTGGAGCTGTTAGACGTTTAGAACAGTACAGATAAGTACTAGTAGTATAGTATCTCTGAAACGAAACCAGGCAGGTAGATAAGCTGTGGCACGTTGATGCGTTGGTTGTATTGTATTTTTTGGTAGCACTGACGTGAAACTACGCAGTGATACTACACATCCTCTTGTATCGAACCATCTTCTCGATAGGTTTTCATTTCTAGTTGATGGTGGTTTCAGATCCTGAAACCGTGATTGGATTGATGGTGCGCTCGCTCGCTGCCTCTCAACCTTGTGAGAGACTACTGAGTGGTAATGGCTTCGTCCATCATCCAGCCTCCGCGCTGCCCCAACTCTCTCACTTTCCAATTCGCCACCCCACAACACTCCACCACTAAACCGACCGAGCCCACACCCGAGCTGGCCTCCGCCTTCAACATGCACTCCAAGCTCCTCGCCGTGCTCAGCCTGTGCGTCGCCG